TAATAAAGACTAGCCATTGTATTGGCTCCTCCCATAGGTGGCTAGTCTTATTTCTGTAGGTTTTGTTTCGAGACTTTCTCTGTGTAGCCCTGGCTGTCCTGGAACTCGATCTGTGGATCAGGCTGACCTTGAACTCACAGAGATCTGACAGTCTCTGCCTCCCCAGTGCTGTGATCAAAGGTGTGCTCCACCACCGTTGCTGCTGCCACTACCTCTGCCTGGCTTCTATAGATAATATTTTATGTTGAGGTCAGTTATCTCTTAATACTGGCTTGACATCTACTGAGAATGTAAAACCGGTATAAAGCTGTTACATTTTTATTTCAAAAAATTTTTAAACGTTAAGTTTTATATAAGGATAGATTTTAAAGGTTGAAGGCAATGACAATATTTGGACCTTGCTTGGATCTTGATGTTTCTGTTTTTGCAGCGCTAATGATCATGTAACTGGGCCACGTGCTACTGAGCCACCTTCAACCCTGAGTCTAGAATTAGGGGAAGGACATTGTAGTCCATTCTGTCCCCATTGGGGACTGTCGCTGTGATCTCTGTACCCATCTGTGGTTCCCTTTAAGTAAAGTCTGCCTACCAAGTTTAAAGGAGAGACACTAAGCTGGACACAGCGGTGTCATTTATAGTCCCAGTTACTTGAGAGTTTGCCTGGGCAACAGAATGATAATTTGAACTCAATATTGACTTTCAGGTTTTTAGTAAATTTTTATGTGTGAGTCTTTCTTCAGAAGTATCCATGAAAATATAAACTGGGGAGGAGGGCAACAGCTCACCCCAGCCATCATGTTCATGATACATTGGTGAAATTCTCAAAACAGATTTCTGTAACATGGCAATATCTTCATTCTGTGTTGAAATCTTTGTGTTTGAATTCAGGGATGGAAAGCCTTAAGGAAAGGCCCTTCCCCTGTCTTACTGACATGTTTGGAGGGTGCAGTGTAAGGTATTGCTTCCACTCTTTGCTGTAAGTGGCCATCTCTGCGTCCAGGTGCTCAGGCATTGATTGGACACTTGAGGCCTTTCCTGTGGGAACGGGATCCCACACGATATTAGATCTTACTCTGACAATCCCACTTTATTTATTTTTTATTTTTGGTTTTTACGAGACAGGGTTTCTCTGTATTGTTTTGGAGGCTGTCGGTCCAGCCCGGCCTCGAACTCACAGAGATCCGCCTGCCTCTGCCTCCCGAGTGCTGGGATTAAAGGCGTGCGCCACCACCGCCTAGCCGACAATCCCACTTTAAATGCTGTTTCCCATTATCTGTGCCCTGAAAGCTCCAGGAGCTACTGGGAAGCTCTCCTTCTGCAGCCTCTTGTACTGCACTGTTTCCATTCCTTCAGAGTGCATGGAATGAGCGGGATCATTAAGTCAGTCTTTGCTCCCTGGCTTCTCATTGCCAGGTCCTCCTTGCTGTTTTTCTTTTAAGGAGTGTAACCAGGACAGAAAGAAAACTCTCCAGGCCCTGGTAGGCAGAACCATAATCCTCTCAAGATGTCTGTGTCTTAAACCCCAAAGCCTGTGCAAACCTTAGGCCACACGGCAAATGAATTAAGATTGTAGGTGAAATTGAGGTTGCTGACCTTAGAACTAGGGACAGCTGTCTGTCTGGCCGCCTGTCTGTCTCAGCAGGTAAGGGTTCCAGCTGCGCAGCCTGATGACCTGAGTTGAGTCCCTGAGACCCACATGACAGAAGGAGGGAACCAGCTCCCGTTGGTTGTTCTCTGCCCTCTCCACATCTAAACTATTTTAAAACCAGAGAGACCGTTGGGTTATCCAGGTGGAAGAAAAAGGGAGCCCTAATGATGCTGACTCAACACAGGAAAGAGGCCTTGAGCCAGGAAATGCAAGTGGTCTCTGGAAGGAAGAGAGTGATTATCTAGATTCCAGGTAGGAAGGCCTGTAGATGCTTTAATTTTAGCCCAGTGAGACCCATACTGAGCTGGTATGTAAAATAATAAGTTTACATTCTAAGTCACTACATTTGTGGTTAACTTTTTATAGCAGCAATAAGATACTAAAACAGACTAGCAAATTCCTCAGTCCATAGGTCTTTGATTTAGCTGCACTTTGGACTCATCTGAAGATCTACAAATGTTAGGACCCAGGCCATACTAGACCACTAAACAGTCCCTGGGGGTGGGACTTGGGTAGCAGTGTCTCAGAGTTCCCCAGGTGTTTCTAGTCTGCAGCTTTGGCTGAGAACTCCACTTGGCTGGTCACATGGACTTGAGTAGCTCCTGTACCTCCTTGGACCATTTGGGATAAAAAGGAAATGCAGTGTTCTGACCAAGAGGGTTTCATCTGAACCTTTGGTTTTGTCTCCTGAAACCAAGGAAAAATATAGACTTCATTAAATTGCCTGCGAGTTCAGGAATAAACATTTCCAGGACCCTTGTAAATTGCCAATCTGATGCTCTATCATACATGTGTGTATGGCTTTTTATTTTTGTTTTGAGACAGGGTCTCACCGTATATGTCAGATTGGTCTGGAACTCCAGGTAGATCAGGCTGGCTCAAACTTAAGAAATCCACCTACCTCTACTGAGTGCTAGGATTAAACATGTGCTATCATACCTGGCATGTATGTTTTAATTTTATTCTGTGTATGCATGCATGTACAGTGTTTGTGGGCACAGCACACACATAGAAGTCAGAGGATAACTTTGTGAAGTTGGTTCTGTCCTTCCACCTTTGTATAGATTTGGGAGATTAACTCAGAACATCAAGCTTGTGTAGTAAGTGTCTTTACCCACTGAGTGTACCTTTACCCGCTGGGCCATATCTCTAGCCCCCTTTGTCCTACTTTACAGTCTTTACTTAATCCCTACAATAGGACTGTCAAAAATCAGGAAGGTAGTTTAGATATTTCAATCACCTAATCCTTAGACATCAAGTTTTCCTAAATGTTTATTACATTTTGGGGCTTTTTTTGTTTTTGTGTATATGTGAGACAGAGGAAAGACAGACGCGCGCGTGCACACACACACACACACACACACACACACACACACACACACAGAGAGAGAGGGAGAGAGAGAGAGGGAGGGATGTTGATTGAGAGATGTTGATTGCTATATAGTCCAGACTGGCCTCAAACTCAAGATCCTTCTGTGTCGGCCTCCTTATTGCTGGAATTGCAGGTATGTGTCATCATACCCAGCTGTTCAATGTCTTTCCATCATGAGGGTTCAGTTCAGAGTCATTATCTTCCATTGTGATGTCTGAGGCAGTTCCAGTCTTACACAGTCTTTTGATCTTGTCAGTGGTTTTTAAATTTTAATAACCAACTTGACTCCAATTTGTGCTGTCCATATACTTCTGGGAATGTATTGGAACACAGTCAACCAACCTTTCAGTAACTTAAAGAACATACTCTTCCCCTAGAGACAATCAACTATCCATAGTCCCTGATTGGGTAGGTTCTTGAACCAGTTTCCGTATCACGCTAGAATGTTGACTGGCTTGATCTTGTGCAGGCAGTCAGAGCTGCTGGAGTTCTGAGGGCACTGGTCCTGTCACAGCTGGAAGACAATTTCCGTTGTCCTTCCAAACTTCTGGTTTTTACACTTCCTGCCCCTCTTCCTGTCATAGTCTCTTGAGTCTTGGGGAAGGGGAGTAATAAACATAGATGTCATTTGTGGCTGAGCACTCTATAGTCACTTAGTCTTCGCACTTTGACCAGCTGTGAGTTTGTCTTAACCATCATCCATTGTACTGTACTTGTCTGTTGAGGTCTGAGAGCTATCTTTGGGTACAGAGAGGAGAGTTTGATACTGTCCTTTTAGCAAAGTAGTAGCAGTAGGTTCACCCCTGGGGCTAGTGAGCTTCCCCAGCAATGTGTTATTGGGAGATTTGCAGCACCCAGGCTCGCATTTCTTCATTCAATTAGAAAAGTGGTTGGTTACTCCCCAGACATTGGTGTCACTATTGCGCCCATGGGCATCTCTTGCCAAGCCAGTCATTCCAGTTCACAGCTGGGTAAGACTTAACTCTTTCCCCCAGCAGCCTCCATAGCACCTTTCAATGCTGAGAACCAGCTAGTTACAGTTTGATTTTTTCCGTGTCCTGTGACCAATGTGTGAGCATCCTCAGCAATAAGATCTTATCAAGTACTGGGGACAGCCAAAAGTAAGCAATAGCCTGTATTGCCATTGTTTTGGGACAATAAGGACACCTCAACAATTCAAGAGGAGGTGTCCTACACACGAACTCAGGCCTTCAAGTGCATGGCAAGCACTTTGTCAACTGAGCCATCTCCCAGCCCCTATTTAGTCACACATCACTAAGGACTCACAAGTATTTTATTGTGTGGTTTATAATACACTAGAGATTGGAGCATTGGGGGCTGCTTCAAGTTGGTTCACATGTTACTTAGATAAGTCACTTGAGTTCTTAATTTCCAGTGCCATAATACATAGGTATATCTTATATTTTCCTTTAGGCAACTGAAGGATAGACCTGAACTCTGCTGATGGTTTCTGGGGTACCACTAATTCTAGGCCCTGCAAACAGAGGTAGGAAACACATCTATATATTCTAACCTGGTGCTTGCTTGCACACAGGTATTTCAGCATCAGTAGAATAAAACCAGGAGTTCATACCTGTACAACTCAAGGCTTAGTCTAGCTGCTTCCCTCAGCTGTAGCTCTTTTCCATTATAGCAGGCTAGCTCTTACCAGGCCATCCCTGCCAGAGGTGTATGGGGGCAATGGAGGCCTTTGTTTTAAAGAACACGACTGCTACTTTGACACGTATAAGGGGGTGGAGTACAGGAGCGGAGCTAGCAAGCAAAACGACACAAGATGGATTCTCTTAAGGTAGGAATGGAAAAGACCTCAAATGTAGCAGTGCGCAGTTCCCAGAGGTGATTTCGCCAGCATCACTCCAGCTGTTTTATTTTCCCAGGAAGTGGAATTTCACATTAACTGGAATTCTACTGTAGAGCTGCTGTTTCTTCCTCCCCCATGGCTATATTTGCTCGTTACAGTAAGGACTCATGAGTATTTTATTGTATGGCTTAGAACTCATTACAGATTTGAAGTGGTTACCCGCGTAGTAGATTATGGGAGCAGACACACTGGGTGGGCAGAACGGAGCAGGTCATGAGCTAGGCTGGGGTGGCCCTAATGGGAAAGGATGGTAGCAAAGGGACTGCAGGAGACACAGGCTTGGTGATTGACAAAGTATGGGGCATGTGAGGAGGGAGGAACTCAGCAGTAAGGCTCCAAACTCAGGTGGCTAGGAGCCAGCGGTGGCAGCACAAGAGCTGGTCTGCAGGGTCCCTATGCTTTGACCATCTGGCCACACAGAAGCCCCTGCACTCACCTGATCAGCACTTTGGCCTATAGCTTTCAACACTTGGTCACTCTCTTCCATAGTGAACACTGTCACCTAGTCCGCAGCTAAACTACCTTCTGCAGACCCTCAACATGCTAGGCCAACGGACCTCTTTGGTTTGTCACAGTGCTACAGACCAGTTTATCCATCCTTGCCAACAACTGTCAAAGGACTCTCCCTAACCACGGACTGACCCAAGCTCTTACAAGCCAGCACGCCTCACTGTTGAATGAGGCCCAACGCTGTTCCAAAGTGACTGGTATCTTTCTCCTTTGAGTAGAGTGCTATTTGGGGCAAAGCCCTCTTGTGCTCCACCAGCCTCAAAGCCGTTTCGTGTGATAGGTGCTGACATGCTAACACGCAGACTTGCCTATGTGTTGAGCTCTCACTGCCTGCAGGACTTCCTGTGTTCTGCTTCTTCCTGTGGAGCCTGGACCATTCCTAGGCTGCCCTTCTCATCCTGCCCCAGGCTGGTAAGTCTGCATCACTGCGGCACCCCAGTGTCTCTGCAGGCCTGTGTGACATGTGAGGCACACACGCAAGGCAGCCTGGCTCTGCCTCCCCTAGCAGGTCACGGCAAGAAGGTAATGAGGTTGGCCTCACATGTCCTGTCGCCCTGCCAACCACTGAAGGCCTCAAGCTCCTGAGCTATGCCAGAGTCGTGCTGAGTTCCCTCTGGTCCTTTCTCTCAACATCCCCAGGGATGAGTGAGCAAACAAGAGCACATAAAGCCACAAGAATCAGAGCCACACATTGGGCTTTGTCCATAATTATTACTATAATGATTTATAAAAAAGAATTATTTTTCAGGCAACTGTGTTAAATTATCGTTCAGCTCTGGAGAGGGAGGTGGGGCCCTGGCCACGGTGAAGACCTTTCTTGAGGGATGTGAGGACGTGCCTGCATTTGGCTCTGACACCTGATTAAATGGCTTTCTCTCAGCAAATAAGGACTATAATCCCTTCCTGTCCAGGGCATGGAGGGAAAGGGGGCTGGGGGAGCAAATCAGTGTAGTGCCTTGAAAGAGAGTAGGCACAGCACGAGCATGGCTGCCCATGGCTCTGATGCTCTGACCCGTGGCCACATTCCCTCCTTGGGGATGGACGACTGTTCCCTCGTCAGCCCTATCTAGGACATCTGCCCAGCAAAACTGGATGTGCAAAGGTCCAGGTCCCTGTCAGGCCAGGGAGAGGAAACTGGCATGGAACACACCAATGTGCCTCACCATCCCAGTGGGAGCTCTTGGCTGCCCCCTCAGCCCACTCAGCGGCCCAGGGACTCTAGCTCCAGTGGGAGCACGGGAGTGTCTGGTCTCGGAGCTTCAAGATTAGAGCAAGGAACCACAGGCCAAAGTGGCCCTGCTCAGAGGGTCGCCCACACCAACTCAACGTCCAGCTTGGGGCTGCCATCCATGCAGCTAAACCTTAATCTCTGTGTCTGTGTATGTTGAGCACAGGGGGAGGGGAGGGCTACAGGCGAGCATGACTGCACCACCTGCTCCAGGGTCAGTGCATGCAGGGGACCCTAGGCCTAGAACATGAACCCAGACCAAAAGGGGTCGAGGGCTCGTGGCTCCCCTCTCCTCCCTCTCTCCCAATATGTCCACCCTCCTTGGGCATCAGAAGGTTTTGCGATGAATCGCACGGGAGCCATCTTCTTCATATTCCTTTTTGGATACCCACATCTTCTTGAAAGTGTCCAGGGAGGCGAGGATGGAGCCGCTGTAAGGATGGAGAGACAATATTCTTGGTACTGGTGGGCTGGGCCAGCTGCCATGCCCGGGTTGTCAGAACTGCCAGACTTTTACTTGGGAAAGAAATCCCTCCATTCTCCATGTCCTGTGGGAAGCCCGGGAGGAGTCCCTCCCTCCCCAGTCCTTTGGCTTGAGCCCCGTCTTACCCGATCCATGTGGAGTATAGCCGTTCCTGAGGGGCTGAGATCTAGAAAGAACAAACGGTTACATAACCACTTGTCCCTACACGGCTACCACCCTCAAACCCAAGGCAGCGAGGCCATGAGTGGCAGGGCGGGCTGGGGAATGGGAGATAGGCTCAGAGGGTTCCTGAAGGCCAGCACCACCCAGCACCCTCTCCCCAGAGGTTTCCAGTCTCACCTTGATTTTAACGTCCTTTGGGGCGAGCTTCTTTACCTCACTTAGTAACCTGTCTCCAAAGCCTGTGGATACAAGGATGGCCAAGCCTGGACCACAGCCAGCATCCTTGCCATGGTGGCCTTTAGACCCCTAGGTGCTGCCGTCCCTCTTCCAGCACCCTGGCTGTGGTACAGCTTGCTGGGAGAGTGACATGAGATGTCACCTAAAGCCATGCAGTGCCACCTGACCCTAGGTCCTCCCTGAAGACGCCTCAACTGAGTGCTCCACTGCACATCACCGTCCAGTCATCAGCCAAGGAAAACTCACTTTAGTGTTTGGTTTATTTTTTAAAGAGTGTCTCATCCTCTGTAATCCAGGCTTGGCACTGAACTCATGATCTTCCTACCTCAAAACCTCCTGAACACTGAAATGGCAAGTGTATGCCCCCATGCCTGGCATACTTTAATTCATTGCGAGTGGTCTGAGGTGCTAGCTACGCTGGGCCTTTGGCCCTGCCACCGTCTCTCCAGCCGTACCTTTAAAGAGCGTTGAACCCCCCGAGAGCACAATATTGGAGAAGAGTGTCCGGCGAAGGTCCATGTCGGACTTGTGGATGGCAAAGGCCAGCACTTCATGGAGCCCCTCACTCTCATCCCCCACCAGGTCTGGCTGGAACAGCAGCTCAGGGGCCCTGAAGCGTGCAGGCCCCACCTGTGGAGAAGATGACGGAAGCACAGGTTCTCCAGGGGAGCCCAGTCCTTTCCCCCCGGGTCAGCATTAGCACCCTAGAACCAGGCCCGGCCACTTACATCAAGTGTGCTGCCGTCTGGAAGGGTGTACTGCACCTTCTCAGTCTCTAGAGCCTCGTCCTTTTGGGGATTGATGGACAGGTAGCAGGCTCGCTGTATGGGCAGGGCAACTCGTAAGTAGAATTTAGCAGGGACACTTGCAGCCAGGGCTTGCTCGCTCTCACGTCTTGGCCTCCCCAGCCCCAGCCATGTCCACACCCCCGGGCCCTTTCTCACCTCTTTGATGGTCCGGACAACCTCAAACTCAGCCGAGGTGTGGAAGTCAGCACCTTCCTTGCGCAGCAGCAGCCTCAAATACCGAGAGACGTCACGGCCCGCAATGTCTACCCGCATGATGGAGTGTGGCATGGCAAAGCCCTCATAGATGGGGACAGCGTGAGTGACCCCATCCCCTGAGTCTAAAACCACTCCTGTTGTGCGTCCCGTTGCGTACCTGCCACCAGGTCAGCATTCTTTTACTTCAGCCACTGAGGAGAGGAGACCTCCTCAACCCCGCAAGGGACCCTGGGATATTATTTATACTAAAGAAACAGGCATGGAGGGGATCGAGAGGCTGCGCCTCCAGGGACATCGGGACTTGGGACACTCACAGGCTGAGCACGGCCTGCATGGAGATAAACAGTGCAGGAACATTGAAGGTCTCAAAGAACACCTCTGCCGCCTTCTCCCGGTTCTTACTGGGGTTCAGTGGGGCCTCCGTTAGAAGAACAGGGTGCTAAGAGAGATGAGGGAGTCACACACACACAAAGACAAGCTAGGTCCTAACAGCTTTCCTGAGCTAACAGCACCACGGAACAGCTAGCTGCTTGTCCCTCCTGAGGACTCCATCCTGAATCAACTCCAAAGACCAGACCCTGAAACTGTGCCTGGCTGTCGCTGGTCGTGTACATACACACACAGAAGGAGCAGGGAAAGCCCTACCAACATGCAGACAGGGAGTGGGAAGGAACAATCCGGAGAGCTGGGAGGGTGCAGGCAAGGGTGCTACCACACCTCCTCGGAGAAGGTCTGCAGCTGGTCCTTAGAGTAGACGTACTGCCAGATGCGCTCCATGTCATTCCAGTCTCGTACCACGCCATGCTCCATGGGGTAGCGGATGGTCAGCAGCCCCCGGTGCTCCTGGAGGACAGGGAGAAAGGCAGACGTAGAACCTGGCCCCCATGAAGCAACTGCTGCACACTGTGAAGTTGTCTCCTGCCTCTGCCTGCTGGGCATCTCCCTGCTCTGCACGCTGCTCTGCATGCAGGCTCCCAGAGCTCAGCTGGCCTCAAATGGCTGAGGACCAGAGAAAATGGCAACATGCCTTATCGAATACAATCTTCTGAGTAAACAGCAGCCATTTTCATCAGATCAGTGGTGCCAGCCGGCAAGAAACCATCACAAACAGTCCTGCTGAGGGTGGGGTCACTGGATCCTCACCCGTCATTTCTATGCACTCTGTCCTAACTGTATGTGGCCTAAGGATCTTGAGGGGTGCCAAAGTACATAAGCTGGGGAAGGCTAACTGAAGAGAGAACCCATCATGATGGGTGAAAACTTTCTAGGTGCTTTGGGGGTTCCTCGTCTGCCTCTAAGTAGCCCCTCATCCACACTCTGTAGGTAAGCCCAATAAACATCAGTTTTCCCAGGGTAAACTCTGATGGAGTCTGTATTTTGTTTGGTTTATGGCAGGAACCTTTCTCCTTCTATAGGAGGAGGAGAAAGATGTCTCCTTGGTAAGGATTCTTCCAACATGTCTGGCAGTCAGCCGGATAGGACAAAACCAAAGATGTGTTGTAGAATATTATTTTAAGACGTGTTACATTTGTTTATGCTGTGGGATATTTGTTTTAAAGATGCACAGATGTGTTATATTCTTTATGTAGCATTTCTTTAACTCTGTGAAGCTGTTCTTTGTCTGTCTAAAAAACCTGATTGGTCTAATAAAGAACTGAATGGTCAACAGCAAGGCAGGAGAAAGGATAGGTGGGGCTGGCAGGCACAGAGAATGAATAGGAGAGAAAAAAAGACCAAGAAGCAAGAGAAGAAGGAGAGGAGGACACTAGGGGTCAGCCACCCAGTTACACAGCCAGCCACGGAGTAAAGTAAGAGTGAAAGCAAGACTACAGAAGAAAAGGAAAAAGCCCAGAGGCCAGAGGTAGATGGGATCATTTAAGTTAAGGAACGATGGCTAGAAATAAGACTGTGTGTTTATTTGGGAGCTGGGTGGTGGGCCCCCAAAAGAACAAAGAGTAAGAAAACAAACAATAACAACAACAACAACAAAACAAAAAGCCTCAACCATCTACAAAGATGGGTTTGGGAAAAGCAACAGCACTGCTTCCTCCAGATGCTGAGGCAGGCAGCTGAAGCCTCACTGAATGTGGGGCATTCGTTTTCCCATGTGGTGTGTTGGAGCATCCAGCCTTGTACCAACAGCTGCAATGTCCCTGTCCCGGGTAATACCATGTGCAACTGAAGCCCAGAGGGAACTTGCTCATGTGGAGGAACTGCAGTGCAAGGGACGCACGACTAGCACCCTCCACGTTAGCCTTGGATTTAGAAAGAGAGGTGGAAAAAGAGACAGTGGCATTGGCTTGCTTCTTCTTACAGGTGGGGACCAAAGAGCACACAACTCAGATCTATGTTGTAGAGTCCTTCCTGAGATCCAAGGACTTGGAACCTGTAGGAAGCACTGGGTAAGAGTTAAAGAGCTCAGAGGTGGCATATGGCACTCCAATCACTAGGCAAGACAGGAAGGTGTTAACTGGAGTACAGAAGGAGGTTGATTTAGCAGGGATCTTGGGATAGGGATGGGGCCCCACTATGAGTTGCTGGCAGAGGAAGCTTTTCAGGGATAGAGATCACAAGAGCCACTTCCCTAATGAGGTAGCCAGGGACACCCGCACATAGGACCACGCACAGGGTGACTGGAAGCCCATGCTCAAGTATGAATTTATTGACTCGCCAACTATGTGAACCAGATGTGCTGGCACGCATCTTTAATTCCATCACTCAGGTGGATCTGTGTGTGTTTAAGGTCACCCTGGTTTACAAAGTCAGTTCCAGGGCAGCCAGGGTTACAGGGAGACCTTGTTTCACCACCGCCCCAAATCATTTGGGCTTGGGTGGGTGCTGGAAGTAGGTGTTCCTTAGCTCCTGGTAGCACCCAAGAACATCACAGACAGGGCGATGGAAATGTTCCTCAGCAGTACAAGTGAAAAGGATTAAGTCTGATCAGAGTTGGGCAGCTTCTTCACCTGAATATTCAGTGTATATTTTTCTCTTGGGAGAGGGGAGTACAGATTAGTCACCCAAACAGAAGTCCTTTTAGCAGCCAGGTGTGGCAAATGGAGAGGTACCATCTGGCTGTATCGGTACTGGAACGGCAACCAAGGACACCAGTCTCAAGCCAAGAAGGTGCAGCCGACAGTGGGGGGTGGGAGGTGTAAAATACTGTTCCCCTTGGCCTTAGGGCTGATCAGCTGAGCCACCTGAGCCCTACTGAGTTCATCAAGACTAGAAAAATGCTGGGGCTAGAGATAGCTCAGCGGTCAAGAGCACTGACTGTTCTTCCAAAAGACCTGAGTTCAAGTCCCAGCACTCATATGGCAGCTTACAACTGTCTGTAACTCCAGTTCCAGGAGATCTGATAACCTCACACAGACATACATGCAGGCAAGACACCAAAAATGCACATAAAATTAAAATAAAAAACAACCCCCACTGTCTTAAAAAAAAAAGAGAGAGAGAGAGGAAGGAAGGAAGGAAAGGAGGGAAAGGAAGGAAGGAAAGGAAGAAAATACACCAAGGACCCATGAAAGTGCCCTGGATGAGGAAGCCATATTAACAGATACAAAGGGATGGAATCTTTGGATGGTGTACTGAACTTAATGTTTTACTTCAGTACCTCCTCAGCTTTGGACTTCTGAAAACTGATCCTTGCCTGGAATGGACTTTCAAAGTATGTCAAGGTTATCTTTACAACCCTACTATTTGTCATGGGATGGTGACCTAGGACCTTGCTTTGTCATCCTGAGCATCCTTGGTAAAAAGGTTTAGTTCTATAGAGGACATAATGCTAGCCCAAGTGCTTTGAAGGGTTGGAAACCCACCTGAAAACTTAACAGTGCACCTAAAGGAGCAGGAATGGGAAAGAAATCGGGTCACAAGAACCAGCACAACTATGAAATTCTTGGGGGCTTTATGGTTGGGTGAAGCATGGATGATACCCACTGTGTTGGCTGGTCTCATGTCAGCTTGACGCAAGATTAGAGTTATCTGAAAGGAGGGAACCTCAACTGAGCTAATAACTCTATAAGATCCAGGCATTTTCTTAGTGATTGATGGGGGAGGGCCCAGCACATGGTGGGTGGTTCCATCCCCGGGCTGGTGGTCCTGGGTTCTATAAGAAAACAGGCTGAGCAAGCCATGGGGAGCAAGCCGGTAAGCAGCATCCCTCCATGGCCTCTGCATCAGCTCCTGCCTCCAGGTTCCTGCCCTGTTTGAGTTCCCGTTCTGACTTCCTTTGATGATGAACAGTGATATGGAAGCGTAAGTCAAATAAACTGTTTCCTCCCAACCTGCTTTTTGGTTGTGATGTTTTGTCACAGCATGTGCGTGCACGTGTCTAAGGGCTGAAGGAAGGAGCAGAAGGTTACAGAACACAACAAATACTCCAAGCAGAAGAGGGGTCATATGCTTGTAAGAAACCTCTTGAGCAGGCCTGCTGAGGTTCCCTTAGAGGAGGGGGTGGGGGCACTGGACCCTCACCTGAGATCTTTCCCTCCTGCACCTCCCAGCTGTCCATAGGCAGCTCTGCTCTGATTGCACATGGCCTCGGGGCCCTGAGAGGTGGAGTGTACAGGCTGGGGAAGGTTAACTGAAGAGTGAAGGTCGCTGTGGGTTTCCCTCGCTCCCACACTAGCATCTCACACCCTATCAATAAAGTCTCTGGTTCCCCAGGGTGAACTTCGGTTTCTCACTGGGGCCTTAGAAAGAGCCACTGTTTACATCTACGCAGGGAAAGAATTTGGAAATATGCCCCACCCCACAATCCCCCCTCTGACCCCAGAAATGTGCGTTCTTACTCACTGCCTAGACTCTCTCCAGTGTCCCCTGATCAGCACCCACCTTCAGCTGCCAGTGTCAGCACAGTCCCTCCTGGGCCACCTGAGGCCATCACTCTTCCAGAGTACAGCCAGGGCTGAGGCTCTCTTATCTGTCTCCACCTGCCCTCAGACACCCCTCTAGTGGACACATGCTTCTCTTACAACAGCGGCTGGTCCTCACTGGCAGGAGCCGCTCACCTGCCCTTCTAGTCCCTCTCCCTGTCAGGCCCAGACCGTGCCTTATTCCCCAGGTGCCTCCCTGGCTCCTGCCCATGCTGGCCTGGCTCTTCTCTCAAAGCCCATACTGGCTCCCTCAGAGTCTGATTTGGCTGTGTAGTTCCCAGCCTGGCCAGAATAAGAAATGGCCCCAGCCCTCAGAGCAGGTATCAGGTCCATCGGTCACTTTGGGGGTAGCTGAGGATGACTCTGAACTTCCAGTTCTCCTGCGTCCACCCCTCCCAAGTGCTGCGATCACAGGCTTGTGATCTTAATCGGCTCTTTCTCCAGTAGTTTCCAAACAGCCAGCTCTCCCCTGTGACTGAGGAGCTCAACATAAGGCCAGTTACCTCTGCTTTCGGTCCAATGAAGAGGTCCCCCTCCAGGGCTCCAGCCATAACTCGCATGTGCTTGGGCCGTCCGACACTGCAAGGACACAGAAGGTCAGTGAGTTGGTCAGGTGCGTGGCCGAACCCGTGTCCAGGAGGACTGTAGCCCAACCACAGAGCTCTAGAGGGCGGCCAGTCTCAGCACTGGGGAGAGCCGCAGGGCAAAGGTCAGAGCCTAGACTTATGGAACGTGGAAGGGCAGCATGGCCTTAGAAGCACAAACAGTGTGTGGGTCTGAAGGAATGGGTCTCTCTCCAGGGAGGGCTGAGTGTGAATGGCCGGGTCCCTTCATGGTCTGGCTCTAGCAGGAATGAGCCTTCTGTAGCCACACTGACTCAGCCCACCCTCTTGTCTGCGGACAGGTGGAGGGCAGCCCTAGAACTGTGTGGTGGCTTCTGCATGCATCCCTGTCACAGGGGCCACTGTCCCTCCCCACTGCCACAGCTTCCAGAATAGAGAGTCAGTTCTTGGCAAGCACGTATCTGATGAGCATCCATTCCAAATCGTGACCCACATTCCCCACATACCACCAACAGCCTTCCCTGACACCCACCAGAGTTCTGCATGGAAAGCTGAAGCCTTTCAGTGCACCCTCAGGGTGCACCCTCAAGCTGGCCTTGTCCCCAGACAGAGGACTTCAGGGTCCAGCTCGGATCTGTAGGCCACGGGCAGATCCTTCGGGCTCTGAGAGGCTCCAGAGAGAAACTTCCCGGTGGGGAAGGCAGAGCCCAGGTACTCCAGGATCTCTAGGATGCTAATACCCAGGGATTCCTGCTACTGCTAGCACCACCTGGGGTGTGTGGAGAGGGCTAGGCAGGAACATTGCCTAGATGCTAAACATAAAGGAGCCCTGACGAAAACAGTTCTGGGGGTGGGGGTTACAGCTCAGAACGTTCGCTTAGCTTTCAGGAGACTACGGGTTCAAGCCCTGCACCCAAACTCCACAGAAATCAGAAAAACCTTTCCAGGGAGGCTGGGGTGGCTGTGTACCCTCCCCCAACTCTCTGTGGAGTGTAGCTCTTTCCCTGGAGAGAGGTCCCTTTTATTCCTGCTACAGCCATCACCACACCCCATCCCCAGGGTAATGCTGGCTGTTTCTCCTCCTCTCAGGCTCAGCCAAAACAAAGGTAAGAGGCTCTGAAGAGGAAACCCGGCACTTTAAGTCTCCCAGAGCTCAGGTTAACCCCACCAATCCGGTGTTTCCTCTTACAGGTGGACGGGGAGCTGTGACCACAGCACCCGTGTTCTTCCAAAGGAAATAAGGGAGGTTTGGGGGAGGCTGTTGCCCCAGTAACACTTACTAGTTTGGGAAACAGTACTTAGGAATCTGGTCTCCTGCAAAACCAGCCTTGATCACCCCTGAACCCTGCAAGGAAAAGCAATGTTTAGTATCTGTCATCGACTCCAGTCAGTGTCCCCAAGTGGACAGCACTGGGCAGTCCTACCAAGGCTGCGTAGGGAAGAAGCCAGAGACCCCCCACCTAGAGGACAAGCACTAGTAGCTCAAAACTGGAAGTGGTGCTGCATTTCCTGTCCTGGAGATGTTTATTTGGCTGGGTCTGGAGATTCAAGGGGGAGATGATACGCTTTTAGAGGCCATCTAGTGGGTGGTGGTCAGGGTTGCTGCCCAATATTCTACCGTGCCCAGGTTCTCCCCATCACCAACAATCACCGGCACCAGAAGGGTATCAGCGAGGAGAGAGAAACCATTACACACATCCTCCTCTGGGAATGCTATGGCCAGTTCCTGTGGGAGGAGGAATACAGCTATACTCCAAAGATAGCTAGATGCTACCTACCCTTCAGTGTCATCCTATTCAAGAGTCCCTTTCTTTATCACATACTGGCCCACCAGGGAGACCACTCGGCATGTGGAAAGATTGGTACCTTTCCCATGTACCTTCCCTGGGGAGGAGGGGAGACTGGCCCTGTCCCTGCTCCAGCCTGCACGCTGGACTTAGGATCTCAACAAGAAGCTGGCAAACCTCCTCAGTAAAGGAATCACCTTCTCCTATCCTTTGCCCCCCAATCGCCACCATAACCCTCTGGGCGTGCAAAACAGAAACAAGCATGTCTAAGTTATAGGAGAGGGCCCCCAAGCCCAAAAGGAGCCAAGCAGGTGCCTCTGAGGTCATAAGCTTGTTGGCCACCAAGAAGGGAAGTGGCCTGATGTACAGTGTAGCTTGCCAGAGCTGGTCGGACAAGCACATCGCCGAGTCCAGGACGAGCCTCTATGATAAACATCTTGTTATGATTTAAGGGAGTCCACATGGGTGCTCCAAAAAAAGGCAGCCACAAAGGGACCATCCGGGGGTCACGTGGGAAGGAGTCAGCTCCCAGAAAGCACAAGTGTGTCACTGTCAAAAACTCCATGGCCTACACACCAGAGGCATCATCTAGGCATAGCCATGGAAAACTCCAGCCATGCCAAGGATTCCGAGGCTAGACATCTCCCAGGGTAGCAGAAGGTAAGCAGAATCCAGGCGCTGGAAGACAAAGCCTCGGGAAGAAGGGCCTCTTTCCTTTCAGGCTTGGAAACAACTACCCCAACTGCTGCTGCTCCATCCTGGTAAAAGTGGCCCAGCACCTTCCAAAGGGATCATTTTAGAGAGGGGGGTTAAAGTGGCAAAGAGGGCACCAAGTGGTGGTGGGTACTTGGCTGGTAGAAATTAACAAGCAGTGTTTGCCTCTAGGTGCAGCCCCTTAGGAGGTGTTGTGAAGATCACCAGGTCCTCCAAATGATGAGGCCAGCAGTGCGCAAAAGGTGAAATGTCAGCCAACCTACATCAGGCTGACCACCAAGCAAAGAGTGGGGGATCGAAACTTGCCCAGCACTTCCACCCAAGACAGACGCGTCCACCTGCCTAGAAGGACGGCTTGGCTGTGTCCGGTTGTCCCGCACATCCTGGGCTCCGAGAGAAGCGGTCCCGAGGCCCACGCCTGGCCCCACCAGCGCGGGCCACTGCGTGGCGCCGCGTGCGACCCCTGGGCGGGACACAGCCCTCCCCCCCACCCACCCCTCGCCGTCCAGACTCACATTGTCGATGACTACGGGCTGGTTGGCGATGATGTCGTAGGACTCCATGGCCGGGCCGAGCCGGCCCTGCCCAGCAGGCGGGCTGCAGGAGGACCCGCGGGCTACGAGGCGCGCGGGAGGACCTGGACGGCCGCGACTCTGGATGGGGCGCCGCGCCCCTCCCCCAGTGCGATGCCTACGCGAACCCGATCCCGTGGCCAATCACAGCTGCCAACTGGCCTGATTGATAGCAGGCGCCGGGGCAGACTGCTGGGGGACGGGGGCGGGGCATCTTGGAGCCAGCCAGCCAATTGAAGCGGTCCGGAAGGACAGCCGGGCGTTGCCAAGGTAGGCTGCGCGGCGTCCGTGCGGTGATGTCATGGCTGGGTGCTTAAAGGGGACCCAGAACTTGAAAAGGAGACGTTGCAATTGGGGAGTTTCACCTACGGGAAACACGTCTTTAAAGCGACATTCGTGAACACTCCTCGTAGGAAGACAGCCTTGACTATTTCAACGTGAGAGTCAAATTAGTTGAATTTATTCATTTTTTGATTTTTAGAGATAGGCTGGCCTCGCACTTAGGTTCCTCCAGCCTCATCAGTGCTGGAATTACGGGCATGTTCTGCCTTGCTTAGCAACAAATAGTTTTGAATTTAATAAAATTTAAATCTTAGGTGAATGATAATTTCGATTGTATTTTATTCTAGAAGTATTATAGATTTAATTTATACTTAGGCCTGTGCTTAATTTTGATTTACTTTTTGTACATGTATCAGGTAAGCACTGGGGCTCATATTTTTGCACCAGACATCAAATTATTCCAGTATTATTGTTGAAATTAACGTGTTCCCTGGTTATGAGAAGAGATGACTCAGCAGGTAAAGGTACTTAGCACTAAGACTGACTACCTGGGGTTTGATCTCAGAGACCCAAATGGTGGAAGGAGAGAACCAGCTTTCCACAAGTTGTTCTCTGATTGCTACAAATGTACCATGGAATATGTACAACCACAGGCACATTCAAGCAAAATAAATGTTAAAAAAAATAGGAAGAAGCTGGGTGTTGGTGGCGCACGCCTTTAATCCCAGCACTCGGGAGGCAGAGGCAGGTGGATCTCTGAGTTCAAGGCCAGCCTGGTCTACAGAGCGAGTTCCAGGACAACTTCCAAAACAATACAGAGAAACCCTGTCTTGAAAAACCAAAAAAAAAAAAGGAAGAGAGAAGCTAGGTGTGGTGGCACATGTCTCTAATCCTAACAATAGGGAGGCAGAGGCAGCTAATCTCTGAGTTCTAGAGGCCAGCAGAGGCTTCACAGTGAGATCCTGGCTCAAAAAATTATATATAATTTATATTGTATATTAATATATTTGTATTAACATATAACTTATATTGTATATCAATATATTTGTATTAATATTAATTTATAATATATGTCATTCTCATTGAATTGGTGCCTTTGTCAATAATCGATAGTTTCTGCGGACCTTCTGTTTCATTGATCCATCAGTCAATAACGCAGAGTCTTGTGGTGTCAGTGTTTTGTTGCTGGAAGAACATCTGAGAAAATCATCATAAGAGAGGCCATGTCTGCCAGGTGCCAGGTGTTGGAGGCGCACACCTTTAATCCCAGCACTTGGGAGGCAGAGGCAGGCAGATCTCTGTGAGTTCCAAGCCAACCTGGTCTACAGATCGAGTTCCAGGATAGGCTCCAAAACAATACAGAGAAACCCTGTCTCGAAAAACCAATAAATAAAATAAAATAAAATGCCAATATCTCTTGTGTTGATAGAGTTCATTGATGAGATGATGTTACCTAGACTTTGGGTTTTCTTTGTGGGAGGATTATGACTCACAGATTAAATTTCTTTAAAGAGAGGCAGAATGGTTCCAGTGGTGGAGGCTCCTCCTCCCGTCCTCCACTTCCTTCTTGTCTCTGGGTGCTGCACATGGAACCTGCAGCTAGGCAAGTTCTCTACCACTGAGGCACTCTTACAGTCTTGCTATATCTCCTTGACTCTGTTACGTTGTATCTGTGGTAGAATGTGTTCACTTTCTATAGATTCAACTGGCAGAAAGTTGTCCATAACGTACCCATGTTTTTCCTTCAGTGTCTGTAGAGATGTTTCCTCTCTCATTCTTGACACCCACGATGCATGCTTTTGTCTTTCTCCCTGATCAGTCTGGGTAACGCAGTGTTTCTCAAATGACCCTGTTGGGGCCAAACAACCCTTTCACAGGGGTCACCTAAGACCGTCAGAAAACATTTGACATTAAGATTCATAACAACAGCAAAATTATAGTTATGAAGTAGCAACAAAAATAATTTTCTGGTTGGGGGTCACCACAGCATGAGGAACTGTATTAAAGTAAAGGGTTACAACGTTCGGAAGGTGGAGAATCACTGGATTGAGACTTTACGATTGTAATGATTTTTTTCCTCAAAACATCAGCTTTGGATTTCATTGACAAGTTTTTTTTCCCAAGGGTGTTTGCACTTTTAATGGACTGTAGCATTGACTACAAGGAAGAATATGCTATAAACAGTTTGATGGCTTCCACTTTATGCGTAGGTGACTTGTGTAAGAGTAGTTGTTTGTTTGCTTGTTTTTTTAACCTAGGTGCAATGCTGTTTGCCTGTAGACTCAGGGGCTGAGGGAGCTGAGGCAACAGAATCACTTGAGCCCAGGAGTTTGTGGTCAGCCTGGACAGCGAAACAAGACCCTGTCTCAAACTAAACCAAGTCAAACCCACATACATCCAGGAGAAAAAGTAGATGTTTCCTTCTGGTGCTTAGCTCCCAGGCAAATCTGCCTGGAAATGAGATAAGTCAGGTAGCAGATTGAGGAGAACACAAAGCTAACCGGAAAATTACACAAGCACTCATTTCCAGCAACCCAACAGCCCCCATTCTCTTCCGTAGGTGATACAGGAGATGAGAGAGAGTGGAGGAGGGGGTGATGGGGAAGGTGTTGGGAATAGGACTTGTTGGGACTCCATAGTAGCCAAACATTAGTGAAATTCAGTGGTTTCACATGTCCCCAGCAGGAAGATGAAGTTATGCAGGCCTGGTTTGTACTGGGGATTCTGGGGATGATGTCAGGTTTTAAGATGTGTGTGAAAATGTAGCCGAGAAGACTTTCTTAGAGCTTGGCTTGGGTTAGGGATGGAGTGAGATAGAAAGAGAGGCATGTAGGATGAACTCTTGGATGTTAGCCAGAGCAAGGGGGTTGTTTTTAACTAAGGCTCCATGGTTCTAGTTTATCAAAGACTAGGGAGCCAGATGCTGGGGTGAAGACCTGCTAGCGCAGAGAGGCAGAGAAAGCACTCAGCTGCCTCCTCCTCCAGTGTCATCCCAGAAAGAGCAGTTTCTCCTACACTGTCTCAAACAAAAACTCCGACCCCATGCCCCCTTCTACTTCCTGTGAGTCTCTCTCTTGGTCCTCCTGACTACTCTCCATGGCTTTTTCCTGTCAACTGGTTGCTTGCTCTGTGTCTCGACCTATGGTTGATCACATGGAGTCCTGCTTACAATATTCAAGCAGAAAGCTCTTGCATTAAAGTTGTGTGCTAGAGTTGAGCCACACCACACCTAGAAGCAGGTTTTTCCAGTAAACAACACCATCTTGGGGTTCACAGTGTGATCAAAACAGGAAGGATAGATTTGCTTCAGATAGGGAAAACAGGAGAAAGTTGCAGAAATGAGTGGTGGTCCAAGACTGCAGTTGGGGGTTTGGGAGCTATGTATCTAGACTTTTCAACCAGCCCACTTTCTCTTGTTTTGGTTTCTAACAGGCCATAGAGTTGAGCCAGCAAGATGTCTCAGTATGTAATGGTGCTTGCTGCCAAGCCAGAGTTCTATCCCTGGACTCTCTACATGGTGGGGGTGAGAAATGGCTCCTGCAAGTTGGCCTCTGGCCTCCACATATGCAACATGGAACACAACACTCCCCAAATAAACAAATAAATATAAACAAATCACAGCACAGGATTGTATGAAATCTTAAGGCAAATGACTCTGTCTCAGCCGTGCTCAGTCCCTGGCTGGATGCAGTCCCATCCAAATTCATTCCCAGGTCTTTCCCACTCAGAAGTGTTTGTTCTGCGTACTTGGACCCATTTTCAGTATCTTCTTTGTTTGTTAGTTTTTCTAGATGGGGTTTCTCTGTGGAGCCTGTCCTGGCACTCGCTCTGTAGACCAGGTTGACCTCTAACTCAGAGATTCGCCTGTCTCTGCCTCCCAAGTGCTAGGATTAAAGGCATGTACCACCACTGCCCAGCCATTTTCAGCATCTCTAATGTAGGGTAAAAAAAATTGTTTTTTTAAAACTTATCCACACTGGATAAAGTGGGTGAAGTGTTTGCTATATAAGATTGAGGATCAGAGTTCTGATCCCTTAGAACCCATGTAAAAGCCCAACAGGCACACTGTAGTCCTAGCTTACAATTAGGAGGCAGAGCAGGAGATCCCTAAGGCAAGCTGGCTAGCAAGATTAGCCAGAATCTACCAGTTCTAGATTCAGTAAGAGATCTCATTTCTATAAATAAAATGAAGAATGATCAAAGACATTCAGCATCAATTTTGGGTTTCCACACCCATGATGTTCACAAATTCACCCACGCATGTGAGCATGCATACAATTGCTGCACCTGCTGCACAGCCTGTATCCTAGAATGTCTCGGAGGGTGTCAGGATTGACGACACAGAGACCAGTCGGTGGCTTCCAGAAGGTTCCTCAAGAAGGCTCTCCTTTATTCCTACTCTGGCTGATTATATATACCCTGACACCAGAGGCAGTGGTGGGTGGGTCAGAAAGAGGCGGTTAGTCTTTGGAAAGTTCAAGGTCAGGGCGTTTCTGTGGACCAGCCCTTATCAGGAACTTAATGCTCCAGGCACTGTTTTGTTTTTAGTAAACATTGTCTTACAGCTGCCTGCTCCCAGGCTGATGGGGAAGTGGGCCTCTGGCCAAGGTCTGTTGTTCCCACATACAATATGCACCACACACACAGTTCCCAACATTTATAATAATTTTTAACTTTAAAATCACCAATTGAATTATTCTTAAATAATTACTGAAACTATTCAAAATGTAAGACCACCTAATGCAGACTTCAACAGAAGCAATGAAATAGAACATGTATTCCTTGGTGGTGCACGCCTTTAGTCCCAGCACTCGGGAGGCAGAGGCAGGCAGATCTC